GCTAATCTTCGGATTTCTTTAAAACTAGAACATCCCACATTCTTAACTATTTGGGAATAGTAATCTAAACTAGGTCTACCTCTACTCCTCTTAACTCCTCTTTCTGCCTCTATTATGTCTCTGACTAGACCTTCATGCCTGAGAAGGTGTCCTACTAACCTATCTCGCCTACTTTTTATTGACTTCAATAGAGTATTCTGTTTTCCCTCTTTTTAACACCTCTTTATTTCTAACCTTCTCTATCCGCGGTATCCTCATCATTCACCGCTAACATCACATTTCGAACGCTTCTAACCTTTTCTTTTCCGCCGCGCCCACCGTCCATGTTTAGCACCCGTACAGCCCCGTGTTCTAAACATACACCTTTAACAATCTTTTCTTTTTTTTCGAATTTCTAAATTAATCATTCGCGACCACAAAAGTGACTGCTTTTTATTGAAAGCGACTCGACCCTGCACTACTTCTGCTTTATATCCCACTACTCCTTCCATCCTGACTAATCTGATTTCCTAAATACCCAAAATCAGCCACGTCTCCTATCTTTATATTCATTCTTTCCCTACTTTTCTTCCCTTGTATACCAGTATTTTTGTTTTACTTTTATTTATCTTCATACAATACTGTTTTGTCAATACCGCCTCCATTTTATTTAAAGCTATCTCTAACTCCTCCTTGTCAGATGTTAAAAAACTGCTACATTATCTGTACATCTAAGCATACTAATCTTTGTAAATGTGTAAATCTATACCTACAGTTGAACTGTCTTCAATGATATTGATTGCGCCTTCTATGTATAGATAAAAATGTAGCGGTGACAATGTGCATCCTTGTCTGACTCCCTTCCTAATATTTACTTGTCTACATTGCTGCTCCAGCTCTACAACTGCCTGTTGCTCTTTATACAAACTAAGTATCTCTCTTCTATATCTGTAACTCATCCCTACATTTTTAGGTATATTTAACATCTTGTCCCATTTAACATTGTCAAAAACTTTTTCTAAATACAAATCCTACGCGCTGTTTTTTTTTCTATCGTTTTCTCTATTGTTACCCGTAAAGCTAGAATGGCCTCCCGTGTTCCTCCATTTCATCTAAACTCAAATTGAATAGTTTTTCCGCCATTTTTTCCATCCTTCTCTGTACAATTCTAGTTGAGATTTTTGACGTATGGAAAGTTAAGGTAATTGTTCTAAATGTAATTTTTTTGTCTTCCCTGTTGTGCAATACTAGCTAGGCAGAGTTAAAGTAATGTTTTTAAGAACTAAAATTTATATATAACAATTACCTAATTCTTTACGTAGGTGTTTACATTTACCCCTATGTTTTGTGATTATGGGGAAAATGTGAACATGACTTCGGTGAAAATGTAAATAATATTTAGTAGTTAATTCCAGAAAAAACTAAACTTGTACACTATGCATGTATATATACTTTTATTACAGTATTTACCATGCCACGAATTTACACAAAAAAGCGGCAAGGACCGTCATATTCTGCCAAAGATCTGGCACATGCTGTTGAAGATGTAACCTAACGAAATAAGAGTTATCGTGCAGCAGAAAACTATTATGGAGTACCAAAAGCAGTTATTTGCAACCGCATTTCGGAAAGAAAAACTTCAATGAACTCAACCGGGCCTGGTCGTTCACAGGCATTAGCGCCAGAATTTGAAAACGAAATTTCATAATGTTTAACAATAAAGTTGAAAATAGGTCCTTCCGGTAATAAGGCAGAACTGCGAAAATTATTTGGAGAACATGTCAACGTCAAATCAGTAAAGACTCCTTTTAAAGACGGGATTCCCAGTAAGGATTGGTATTATTATTTTATGAAGAGACATCCCAACCTTTCTTTAAAAAAGCCTAAACACCTTCAAAAATTACGAAAGGATGCAAAAAAGCCAGAAGTAATTGATGAATTTTATCGGGATCTAGAAAATGTCAAAATGAAAATGATTTGACTGATGACAAAGATAGTTTTAAATTTAATGCTGACGAGTCAGGATTCAACTGTAACCCAAGTAGAATTAGGGCCATTGGAATTAAAGGAAAGGCCCTCTGTAGGACATCAGGTGCACCTGACAAGGAGTCAACCACAGTATTGGCATGCGTTTCTGCAGATGGTAAAGCACTACCACCATTGATCGTCTTTAAAGGTGCTGGAGTCCATGGGTGCCCGGGCACACACTCGATTGGGTTGGGCACCCAGTCAATTCAGATAATAACCCAACTTGAAAGTTCGGTTCAAATAGTTTAAGCTCGTAAATGAGCAGCCGAGCTCGATCTTTTCAAGTATTTTAATTCAATACACTGATGACCCTTTTTTTAGTCATTTACAGTATTATGATGGGAGCACTCAATGAAACTGTAACGTTGTTGCGCCGCTGATGACTACCCTGAAACATTATATATTGCCTCTAAAACGGTTGGATGGAGAAACCACAATTGTACCAGTGGTTTACTAATGGATTCGTAACTTATGTTAAAGAATTGAGAACTTCCAAAAAATTACCAGAACAAGCGACACATTAACAATTTCAAAGGACGATAAAAACACCAATAAAAAACACGACAATGAAAAAAAAAACGTATTCAATAATTAGATCTGGTAATTAAAACTGAGTTCAAATAAAATAAAAAATACCATAAATACACTAGTTACCTAAATAGGTTATGAGTATCACGCTGTGACTGCCACAGGAAGTTTTTAATTAATATGTTGGGATAGTTATTCCTCTTTAAAATATTTTGCACTTTTAGTAGATTATTTTTAACAAATTCAGCAGAGCAGATGTTTATAATTCTCGTTTTTAGACCTAAAATAGTGTTAATTATGTATTGTAAGGGATGACTATATAAAAAATTCAAGTATCTTTCATGCGACGTTTTTTTTTGGTGTACCAGTTGAATTTAAGTAGAACACCATTCCTAATAAGAAGTACATTAAGGAATGGTAATTTGCTATTTTCTTCTACCCCGTATGTAAATTTAAGGGACGGGTGAAAAGAGCATAACTGTTCGTTTACATAACGTTCCATACCAACAGGTACCACTGTTATACAGTCATCAACATATTTGTAAAAAAATGGCAACTGGTAAGAAAGACTAGCTAAGCATTTTCTAATCACTTCATTTAACGCTAAAACAAGGCTGCTAGGACTTCCAATCACCCCAAAAAATTGTTTATAAAACGTGTCACCAAATTGTGCATAACCAAAATCTATGTATAATTGAAAATGTTCAATGAACTGTTCAAGAGTGAGGTAGGTATTATTTGAAATAGTATTTCAATTCTCTATTATATTTATCTATCATAAAAAATAAAGACGAGAATTATAAAAATCTGCTCACCTGAATTTGTTAAAAATAATCTACTTATGCAAAATATTTTAAAGAGAAACAACTATCCCCATATATTAATTAGAAACTTCCTGTGGTAGTCACAGCCTGATACTCATAACCTATCTAGGGAGGTAACTAGTGTCGGTGCCATCACAGTTGAAAGTGCAAAAAATTTACTTTCCAATATGCTACACTACATTAGAGGGTTCTTGGAAAAATGAAAACGACTTCAAAAATTATAATTTCAATATTATTTTCGGTCCTTACAATACTTCTGAGAAACTATTTACTTAATAAACACAAATGCAAAACAAAACTTTTAAAAAGGGCTAATGTTATTTATAAAATTCCCTTGCAATCTCAGCTATATAGGACAGACAAAAGACTTCTATTTGTAAGAATTAATGAACACAAAAATGACCATAAGAAACAACTACTTGAAACACCTACTTACAAAACCACCTTACTTAAACACAGTATTGAGACAGGCCATTTGCCTAACTAACAATACAAAGGTTTTACATTTAGAAAATAGTTATTTCAAACGCCTTTTTTATAGAAGCTTCCTATATAGTGGTTCAGGGAAATACCGTTCTTAGTTCTAAGTCGGACAATCTTAGTTAATAATTATTTTAATATTTACAGTAAATTTAATCGTAAAAGCAACTTACAACTAAACTAATATGTCTCTGA